CCCCCCCCCCCCCCCCAGGAAAAGTCCCTTTTTCCTAAAATTATACAAACAAAGCAGCGAAGATTAACAAATAGATAAATGGAAAGTAAGTTTTAGGCTTTATCCTTTGTCTTTGTTTAACAAAATCGATTTAAATTGTTACGTTTTTCTACACGGCTACACCTAAGTAATGATAAATTTTTGTTAATAATTTTTTATTTTTTGGATGCTCAAAATGCAGGAAATAGCATTTCCGGGTCTCAAGTTTCAAAAATTTTCTGGGGATTATCCCTCTAATAAGTAATGATAAATTACGGTTAATATTCTTTTTTTACTTTTTGTGCATTTTTTCCTTCTTTTATTTCAAATACAAGTATAGTTAGCATAAATTTTAGAGCAAATTTGGATGCTCAGAATGCAGGAAATGACATTTCCGGGATTCAAATTTCAAAACCCCCACGCAATCATGCGTGGTATATTGGCCACACACATGGCCATCCCCCTCTAATAATATTATATCACAGAAAGGTCCCTTTTCAAAAAATGTCCCCTCCCCCACGGGAAAATCCTTAAAAAAGGCCTTGACATGCTATTGTATAACCCCGAAAAATTACTTTAAAACCTTCCATCTAAAAGCTTCATATGCATGTACCTCGATCTGTACTCTGATATGTACTAAAGTCCATTTTTGTTGTTTATCGTAAGCTTTATAGTCCTTGCTTTAAGGTGGCTCAATACACATTTCAAAAATTCAGGTGTTCAGCCTACGTTGACACGTTCAAACTATGCATCTTTAAAATCTATTCTGCAGATATGGGGGTTTTGTATGTACTATTTAAAAAACGAGCAGAAGTGTTTTATTAGGTTTAAAGCCACGAGCGCGCAGCGCGAGTGGCTTTAGACCTAATAAAACACGACCTGCGAGTTTTTTAAATGGCTTCAAAAACGTATGCATAATAAGTCAATCTTTATATAAAAATCTTTATATAAAAATCTTTATATAAAAATCTTTATATAGTTTGCATAACAATGGTCTTTTGTTAAAGTGTTTTTTAGCTGGTATAAAGGCGTATGCACGTGACTAATTTCTTACTCAAGATTGGATAATTGGTTCATGAATTATTAATGAGTTTTTGAAATTTTGATAACTACTTTCAAATTATACTAGTTTTTAGAAGGGGGAAAAATTCACTCCAAAATGGCCTTCGTGCGTTATTTTAAATTAAAGAAAAACTAACAATCAGCAAAATATAAAAAATTCTGTAATGCCATTTTTTTGGAAAATGCGAAAATGTCGTAGTTTTCTGTAAAATATTTTTGGCATTACAGAATTTTTTATTTTTTGTATAATGAACGTTTTTACTCTGTGACATATAGCATGTAAAATTACCACCAGACAAAATAGGGAGATATAGCGCATTTCCCCCCTAAAATTGAAAATTCTGATGACGTCAGCAATTGACATAAAACACTATAGAACACGCATAGAGATTATAAATAACACTAGAGGAGGCATTCTAATCTTAATTCAGTAAAAAAAAGGGAACGCGACTATTGGGGGGCAAATTCAAGTCCCGGATGTGTATGCGTGTTCCCATTGGTGACGAGTTTCAAATCGGCCAATGAAAGCACGATTTTATATCCGGGACTTGAATTTGCCCCCATTAGCTGCATTCCCAATTTTTAAACTCGATGCCCCCTCTAGTGTTATTTATAATCTCTATGAGAACACGCGCAATGACGTGAGATGGCGCGAGCGACTGCGCACGTCAGGTCATTTTGGAAGTTCTTTCATTTCGTTAATCAGTTTCCGCGACCTGCGCGTGAAAATGGTCACCCTGTTTTGTTCTGGATTCTTGAGCAGGGTTTTTGTGATAATTATATCAAGCCACCTTAACTGGCGCTCTTTTCTCTAAGGAAAATATTCGGATTTTTTTCAGTTGTTTGATAAACCTGACTAACCAACACATAGCTGGACTTCAAGATAGCCCCTTTAATAAATTAAATTTTTATTGACTTGTTCTAATAACGTTATCCAATGCATAGGTCGACGAAAAGACTGCTTCCACTCTGCCATCAAACTTCTTCGTCAACAATCTCCTAGCAACAATGGCGCTGACGAATGACAAGCCCTCTGCGAAGAAGATTGTTTGTGACAACTGTGAAAGCGAAGATCCTGCTCAAAGCCGTTGCAATGAATGTGGAATATTTCTTTGTCAATATTGTTCGGAGTTTCATAAACGATCTCGGCCAACGAAACATCACGAGCTGGTAACCATGGAGCAGTTGAAATCCAATGCAGGTCCACAGAACATTGCCGAGAAGATGCGATGCCCTAAACACAAGGAAGAAGTCATCAAATTGTTTTGTAAAACATGTAAAACAACCATCTGCAGAGATTGCACCATCGTTGATCATCAGGGGCATAAATATGGATTTGTCGAAGAAGTCGCTGTCGAAGAAAAACGTCATTTGCAAAGAAATCTTAACGAAGTAAAGCAAAGAAAAGGAAGAATTGCACAGGGAATTGTAAACCTGAAGAAATTTAATGAAGGTCTCGAGACTAAGAAGACGTCAACAATTTCAGAAATCAGTCGGCACTTCGATCAACTTTTGAAAGCTGTGGAATCTCAGAAAGGAGAAATGATGGAAAAAGCAACTTTCTTCACAAATTCCAAACAAAAACAGATTCATGCGCAGTTAGAGGTCTTAGAAGTGGCTTTAGCAAGTTGTGAAAGCAGCATCGAGTTCACAGAGCAAGCGTTCAAGAATGGCAACGATGTTCAAATATTGAGCATGGAGAAGTACATTTTGCAGTCTTTGGAGCAGTTGAAAGCTGTTAAAGATCAAACGAAACCTTGTGCCACTGAAGACATGGTGTTTATCATTCCTTCGTCGGTGCAGGAAACAAAGAAAAAGCTGTTGACAAAATATGATGTTGACGTTGCTGTCGCAAATCCTGCATATTGCCACGCTTCGTTCAAGGAAGAAGAAAAAATGTTTGATGCTGGGAAACAATACTCCGTAACATTAGTCTGTCACGACAAAAATAACCGAAGATTAAGGTACGGAGGTCAAGACATCAAACCGTTGTTCACTGGAATGGAGGTCAGTGATGTGGCCGTTACTGATAATAAAGATGGCTCCTACACTATCAGCTTTTGTCCTCGTCAGGGTGGCATGTTAAAGTTTGAGGTGTCCATCAATGGAACTCCTGCTCCAAATTGTTCTCTGGAAAAAGAGGTGAAGTGGGTGATAAGTGATGCTCATGGTAAAGGTGCTATCACTAATGGTGGAGGTACAATGAATGGTGATGGTAGTTACTGTTGGAGAATCGGTGGACGTTATTTTGATTCTGGAGTTCACACGTGGAAAGTGCGATTGAGTACCAACAATGCATATGATCCTTATAATGATTATAATTATAATTATAGTCAACCCAGTGTTGAAGTTGGAATCATCGACTATGACGAAATTAATGCAGAAATTGGTCAACGCAAAGGTTGCTCAAAGCAGATGTTGCTCAATGCTAATGCAGATGTTGCTCAAAGCAAAAAAAAGTGGGTTCAAAATTGTACTGTTCAAAGAGGCCACAATATTGATATTAACTTTACTTTGGAAATGGAAAAAAGAACATTGAACGTCAAGGTTGTTAATCCGAGATATCGTAAGTCTGGTGGCAGTGGTACAAACTATCAGTTCACTGCACGTCGTGTTTCACCTTTCTTTGCGTGCAACTCAGCTAATCTGAGTATTAGTTTAGTGGAATGAAAACATTTAACTGTCGGTGATTTTATTGCTGGTAGTGAACGGAAAAAACTGCAGGAAAACGCAATGCCAGCTAAAACGCGTGTTTCTTAAATTATTTTTCAACTGTGCTGCAAAAATATGTGCATTTAACAGTGTTGTAACGATGTCAATGACTCGGACTCGAGTCGCTATTTTCAACGACTCGAGTCCAACACGTAAAATGACTCGACTCGACTAGATTTGCGTAGAATATATTCCTGACGGGCATACCTATATTACATTTCTGTTTTTTGAAACAACGTTAGCGCCACAGTTTTTTAAATGGAGTCTCAACATTTTTTGTACTTATACTAATTCAGACAGGCTATCTTCATTTTTGGTATTTATGAAGTGCTATATAATTTCAAATTAACTTACAAAGCGTGGTTAATTAAAGTCTATTCTTTGCTAATTCTGACTTCAGTTGCATGTTATACTAGTTTTATGAACGTACACTCGATCAGCAGGCATGATGAGACATCTCATGCGGTCGTACTTAATATTGACTAGAACTGTGATATTGAAATTTGATTACCAATTTCCGACTGCAAGCTAGGGTAGCTCATGTCAAGTCTAGCAATTGACTCTACTCGACTTAAACCAGTGACTCGACTTGACTCGAGTGAAGCCGTTGACTCGACTCGACTCGAGTGAAGCCACTGACTCGACTCGATCAAAAACTGAAATGACTCGACTCGTGACTCGACCTTTGAGTGACTCGACTCGTGACTCGACCTGTAGGTGGTGACTCGTTACAACACTGGCATTTAAAACTTAGTTTTGTAGAATTAGACATTGATCTTATGTGTAGAATTCGAGGTAGAATTAATAGATATAATTTAGCGATAAAGTTTGAGTGTTTTCTTGTGGGCGGGGGTTCAAAGAGGAAGCGGAATTTTATTTTGGACATTACAACCGGGGGTGCATGGGAGTAAATTTTGGGAGGTAATATTTTCTGGGACACTGATTGCGTTGAATGAATTGCTGAATTGTGCTTTTACTGCTTTATGCGTATTACATATCGTAACAGTTATAGAACGTTTGTTCGGTGGTGTTGGAATTGCACTATACATTGTCTGTGTACATTCCACATTTTCTCGTTTCTGAACTTTCTTGCATTTTAGATAAACAGTGATTGGCACGACAGAGGTATGTCGTACTGTATTTTGTAATAATGGTATATTTGAACTAACTAATTTTAATTAGTCTTAAAAGACTATCGCCGAATTTTTATTGATATTTTATTTATAACAAGCTTTGTCACAGCTGACAAGTTAGCACTCGTTATTGGTTCCCCCTCTGGGCAAGTTGGGCCCCCTTTTTTTTACTTTTCTTTGGGGGGGGGGG